GAACAAACAAAAAAAAAAAAACAGTGATTCATACATACTGGACTGCAAAAATCCACAAGAGTGTCATTGCACACCAACCTGAGCATCCAGGAAAGCCTCAGCAACTGCCAGCAAGGGCATACTCACAGTGGAACATCCCTGGATGTATCTTACCTCAGTTACAGCCAGATCAGGATGTATCTGACCGTAATTTCTTCTAGAGTGCATTCGATAAAAAGCCCGACTGTCCGTATGCCCTGAAACAAATAAGGGGCCTCGCCACACCAATGTCGAAAACTGCATTTTCGACATTTTCTCCTCGCCACACAGCATGTCGAAATCCAAGATTCGAAAAAAATTAAAAAATATAAAGAAATCCAAGATGCAAAAAAAAATTCAGCAGCTGTCAGGGAAAGTGTTTCGACTCTGAGTCTTTCGACACCTCCTCTCGAGTCTCGAGCAGGGCTTGTTTCCACTTGAGGCCTGCAACTTGGACATTTTCAACAGTCCTCCGATGGGATGTAGGATGTCGAGTTCTTGCCCGAATGTCGAAAAGGAGAACGGACCAACGCTTGTCCTATCTTCACCCCAGTTTGTCTCTTTTGTGCATAGGACTTGTGAGTTCTTCAAGTGACTTGTTGTCGAGTTCTTTAAGTTCACTTCGACATGCTGTGTGGCGAAGAGGGTTTTTCTGTCGAAAGAGGGAATGCCGGGAAGTTCCTGACATATGTCGAATTTCGCGATGCTTCGACATCGGTGTGGCGAGGCCCTAAAGGTGTCTTCAAAGTGTCTTTCGCAAGTTCAGAAGTACACTAGAAAATTTCCAAGTACACTAAAAAATAGTAAAACCCCACTCCACACCCTCCTTTCTCTTTTTTCCACCCCCCATTTCACTCCCTCACGGGACCCCTCCCTTTCGTCTCTTGATGCCCCCTGGCACGCCCACGCCTCCCTCCATGCTATACCTCAATCGACGACTATCGCTCTCTACTACAACAACCAGACCGGACAGCAGTCTTGGGCACAGCCCTCCTTCCTTTCATAAAGTTTTTTCACTCCACGGCTCACTCTCTCTCGCGCGAGACCCCTCCCTTCCACCTCTTCATGTTCCCTGAGGCACCCACACCTCTATCTCCACCCTACCTCACTCGACAAAACCGTCACTCTCTAGTCGAGCGACCTGAGCGGACAGCACTCGTGGGCACCAGCACTGGTCGTACAACCACAATTTTCTAATGAACACAACGAATCAGAGAAGTCTCCTGACACCCTCCATTTTTTGTCCTTTACCCCTCCCCCCCCCTTTTCATCAACTTTCCACTGGTTGTTTGTTTTTTTGTTTATTTTATTTTTATTCATTTATTAAATTATTTACTTATTTATGATGTATTTATTATTTATTTTCCGCTGGGTGATTCCTTATGACAATAGAGTGAATAGTATGTACGTATGAGCTGCTGGACCAAGCTCCCGCTTGCAAAGATCGGGAGATAGTAATGGTCGTAGATCTCCGTTATCTCCGACTGCTATCTCTTGATTACCTCAAGGGGACCTTTGGCTGGGCTGTGCTCACCAATGGTCACATGTTTGTGGCCTTCTCGTGAGCCCTCGAGTTTCAAAAAGAAAAAAAAGAAAAAAAGAACATTTTGTGGCCTTTTTATTGCTACAATTTGTGAATTTATAGTAACTTTTATGCGTATAGAAAGTGTACCATCCTGCCAGTGGGTAGGCGTAGCAGCATCTGCAACTCAAGCACAAGCCAAAGTTTTTGCTTCCACACCACCCCTCCCTCCCTCTTCCTCCTTTAGCAATATTAATATTATTAATTAAGGCATCCGTTGAAACTGTTACGAACAGCTGTCCCAGAATCTTTTGGGACACCTGTCAACACTGACAAAAAAAAAAAAAAAAAAACTGTAAGTTCCCCCCCCTCCCAACAACCGTCCCAATAACTTTTGGAACAGCTGTTAAAAGTTACAACTGCAAAAAAAAAAAAAAAAAAAAAAAAAAAGCTCGTTTTGCCCTCCCAACACGTCCTTTCGAACATCCCTTACTGAAACTCGAGTACCAAAACAAAACAAAAAAAGTTCACTTTTTTGCACTTTTTGCTTTTTTTTTAAGTTCTTTCCACACCCAACAACTGTCCCAGTATCCTTCCGGACATCCGTTAAAACTCCAGCACTGATACAGAGGAAGGTTAGCATGGCGCGCCTGCGCAAGGATGCCACGCGTACATCGTGAAACAGTCTAAGTAAAAAGTGCCATGCGTGCATCAAAAAATGGTCCACGTAAACAAAAGCAAAAACGTTAAAAAAAAAAAAAAAAAAAGTGTCGAAGGCTGCATGAGTTGACATGCGCACTTTTCGAAAAAGTTTTCACAAAGAAACGCGCAGTCATTACAGGTCATTGGACCTCTCGTCCTCCTTCGCCACATCACCACATTTCCTGCGCGTAGGTGCGTCTGTATGCAGAGAGTCCCAAGTGCATGATCTGCACCAGGACATGCACATACCCAAGTTCTTTTGCGATGTGTTAGTTTATCTGTCAGGTAACTCAGGTTGTTAGATAGCAAAAGTGAACATTTTTCAATTCGACACCCAGCAGGAAAAAATAAAATAAAAAAAAAGAAACATAAAAAGGTTAAAAAAGCATTAAAAACATGAAAGCCTCCCATAAACGCCTCCCATGAAAAAGGTCTGTAGGAGGAAATTTTCTAAAGGTCAACGGAAAAACCTGTTTTAGGGGAAGGTGGCGCAGGAGACACATTGCAGCATATTTATGGAGAAACGACTCTGAGAAGGAAAACGACTTTAAAATTTTAAAAAAGCCAAAAAAAAAGAAAGAAAACAAATGGTTCGGAGAAATCAGACAGACAGCATATCGACAGCTGCATCATCGTCCGTTCCGCGATACACCGTTCCTCGGAATATTTCCAAATTTCAACAGATTTAAGGCAACTAGCTATTTTCAAATTTCAACAGATTAGGAAACCGACTCCAGAGATACCAGGGGATTGGGAAAAAAAAAAAAAAAAAAAAAAAAACATGACTGTTATGGCCGTCAACCACAACTCCTTCACAAAAGGTTCGACGCCAGGTGAAAAGAACTCCGTCTGAGTCCGTCATAACACGGACCTAGTGAGTGTTCCAAAATTATCTTCCATTATCCCAAAAAAATCGGGTGGAGGTGGACACCGTAGTCCGCCGTCACCAAAAATTACCACTTCGGGAAAGAAGAGGTTCGACACTACCCGTCACTACCCTCGTCCTACGTCCTCACAACATACTCCCCACATCAACGGCTAAAGGGCGATAACCTTAAAGAGCCTCTATCGATGGGTAGGGGCTGAAGGGCGATAACCTTGCATGGGTGGGGGCTAAACGGCTATAACCTTGAAGAGACTCTATCCAACGAATCAGTACCCACGACAACGAGTGGGAAGAGTAGACTCTCGGCCTCCATCAGCGACGGCGAGGAGTAGACTCTCGGCCTCCATCCGCGATGGCGAAGAGTAGACCCTCAGCCTCCATCGGCGATGGCGAAGACATGGACAAAGGCCCGCGCTGGTTCGGAGCGCAGCGCTTACACTGGACTGCCCCGCCACAGTGTGCCCGCCCATCCACCGCTGAATACAGACTTTTAGCACCCCTAAAAAACAAGGAAACAACAAAAAAGAAAAAAAGAAAAAAAAAGAAAAGAGTTATCACTGCAGCCCTTGTCGCTCGTGGTTGACGGAGACCGTTATTTCCCTAATATTTTTGTTGCATGTCCACTGAAAGTACTGTGTTCACTTGAGTTATCTAGTATTTTTGTTGCATGTCCACTGAAAGTACTACGCTCACTAAAGCTATCTTTCTTTGTTTGGATTCTCTTTTTCCTTCCAATGGGCTATCTTTGTTTTCTCGATTTACGACACTACCCATACCTAGACAAATAAAAAATGAAGGCTATTATGAAGCCCTTTTTTTTTTTGAACTACACTATGTTCTTTTTTTTTTT